TTCCAGATGAATCTTTAGAGAGCTTTATAAACTAAATCACCAGACAGCTTCAATCACCCTATGAGAACTCCAAATTGGAAGAAGATTAAATAACCTACATATTAACCCTCTGACTAGTGAGAGTGGCTTTAGTTTTTATTAACTATACACCAGATAACTTTACTCGTGCAAGAGGAACCCCAAATAAAAAGAAGATAAAATTAAATGCAGATTAACTTTCTGACCACCAAGAGTTACAAGGAATACTAACTACAGCTTTATCATCATCACTGTATATCAAAACGGGCTAGCACTGACCACTAATTAAGGTCAAGAAGGGAAGGGTGTTTTATAATACCCTAGTACTATTTGTGTCTTATGAATATTTTATGTCTTGAGTAAGAATCTCTCTAAACCTACACAGATAATCCTTTACTAACTATATTCAAAGGTTGGTTGTTTCTTAAACTTCTATGTGGAATTAGCATACATCTTTGTTCCATGAAACATTTGACTTATTATAAGGTATAAAACACACAAGAACATGGTTCCTGGTCACGTACATCTTCATACAAAACCGGCAAAGAAGAAAAACAAATGACTGTTCACTTGTGTGATTAACTCACAGTAACCTTATCTTTGTTCTCCCATAACCACAAGACTTCACAGAAAATGTCACTGATCATACCAATAAAAGAGAGAACCTATTATAAGTTCAAAATACAAAAGTATAAAGTCTTTGAAAAAAATGGGTAACAATCAGTTGCCTGAATATCTGAGGCCCATTTACTTGGCTGTTGTTATCAAAGAATTGAGAGAAAACCCTGATTATTCTGAAAAGACCTTACCACAATGAAAGATTACAAAGACACTGGTTTCCAACAATTAAAGATACTTCTTTTAATTTAATACGTTTTGGTATACTTGTATTGTATTACCGAAATCTTTCACAGAGATACTTGTTGTTTAACAAGAAGTCAATCTTATACATGCCATGCCAGACCTTAGCAGAAAAAATTCATGTTTTACAAGAAACTTTAAAATGTTCATTAGTCTAAGGTACTATTTTCACAACTTTCTTCAAGTAATATCCTTGGTTCTAAACTATGATCTGGCTTGTAGTCTGACAATTTTAACTGTTAAGTCTGCTTATGGAAGTCAACTTACTATGAGTTCAATAGTTTCCATTGCCTGATATTTACTGGCAGTTCATCTGATAACATGAACCTATTCCCAGGATACTCTTGCATTACTACATTGTGTCGGGAGAAGGTGGAAACCTAGAAACCAGACACTTGTTACACTGTACATGTAATCTGAAGAAGTGGGCCATTTCCTACAGGGTTATCACGTGGGAGAAAGTTATCTGGCAAAAATAAAAATGTGAACTAAACTTTGTAGCTTCCAAGATAAGTTTAGAAAAACAAGTTTAACTAAATATAGTTATCAACGTAATTATGTCAGCATGTATTTTTACAAGGCAGAAGGAAAACTAAAATTAAGGCACTAAGCAGTGGACAAACAGTCTAGTAATACACAAGTTTGACTTATTACACACGAACACATGGGTTACAAAAGGACCAATGATAAACATACATGGGATACAAAAGGACCAATGATAAAGTACACATGGGTTACAAAAGGACCAATGATAAAGTACACATAGGTTACAAGAAACTAATGGTACGGTAACATGTGGTTTACAAGTGGACTAATCATACACATGGGTTACAAAAGGACCAATGATAAAGTACACATAGGTTACAAAAGGACCAATGATAAAGTACACATAGGTTACAAGAAACTAATGGTACAGTAACATGTGGTTTACTAGTGGACTTATTACACACTAACACATGGGTTAAAGTGGAAAAATGATGTCTTAACACAAATGTTACAAAGGGACCAATGATAAAGTACACAGGTTAAAAGTCAATTTATTACACAACACACGGGTTACAAGTGGACTAATGATACACTGATAAGTATGTGCTACAAAGAACCTAATGACCCTATAATACTAGTGGGTTATGAGGAACATGATAACACACGTGAATTAAACCTAATGACACATGGGTTTTAAGGATGTCATAACACACTAACATGCACAAGGAAACTAATAACAATAATCTGTTGATTACAATAGGACTAATGACACACACACACATGGATTACATGAGAATTAATAGCACTAACACAATGAAATTGTAAGGTAATTAATAACACAACACCATGGGTCATAATGACCCACTTAACACCTGTGGGTTACAAGAAAATATATACGAAACTACAGCATAGGTGAGTTGTAGGAAGCCTAATGACACACACATAAGTACTTATGGGTCCCCACCCCTAAGTTAACAAAGTCTAACAAAACTATTATATCAACAACTAGATCTGGCACTTTCCTGGTTTATTCTTGTTGATGACTTGCAGGTACACTGACTGAAGAGCCAGGCATCATACACAACCCTTCCTGGTTAACATTAAACTCTATAGTTAATGTAACCCTATTTCTTTAGTTCTTGGTTATTAATATAATTGAATGACGTCAAGTGTTATGTTTTACAACAAACAGATTTGTTGAAGTTGATCATGTCACCTAACTATTGCAAAAGTACCACTAGGTGGCAAAGTCCCAGGCAAGAGCTGGTGGTGGTCGCATTTCAATTTCTTCAAGAGAAAAGAGATCCAGGGTTTCCTGGTTGGTCCCAAGAGTAGACAACAAAGGGTCGTGGTCATTTGAGCCACAGTAATATGGCTGTGAATCACTAGAAGTGCTTCCACTTGAGGAGTGTGGCAGTATGACGTTCAACAGTTCTGTCAATTCCATGTCCATCTCGTGATCGTTAGATTGGGCCATGTTTGACAGCTGATAATTTCCTCCCGCACGATGACCATCTTCACTGGCGAGTACTCCTCCCAAGTCCATGGCCTCAAGGTTTTCCAAATCTAGGTGAAAATCTAGTTCCAGGGTAGACTGACTCCCATGGTCACATTCATTCAGCATTGTTGATGGTGGACTAAGAACTAACTGAGTGGGAAACACTGGACCATCATAATGATTGTTAGAAGTCTGTGTTTCTGGAGTAGTAGGTGTGGCAGGCTCATGTGCAGCACTGGGAGAAAGTTCTGAAATAGAGAGTACAGTACTGTAAATAATACTAAACTCACATACAGGTGTTAGTAATATGTTACCTTGATCACAACAATATAACAGTAACAATACTTGTAATGTGGACATCTTTAATACTAAACTTACACACAAGTGTTAGATTATATTGCTGTGATCAAGGGTAACAAATATCACAGTAACAATACTTGTAATGTTAACATCTTTAAATAATACTAAACTCACATACAGGTGTTAGATTATATTGTTGTGATCAAGGGTAACAAATATCACAGTAACAATACTTGTAATGTTAACATCTTTAAATAATACTAAACTGACACACAAGTGTTAGATTATATTGTTGTGATCAAGGGTAACAAATATCACAGTAACAATACTTGTAATGTTGACATATATAAATAATACTAAACTCACACACAAGTGTTAGATTATATTGTTGTGATCAAGGGTAACAAATATCACAGTAACAATACTTATATTGTTGACATATATAAAATACTAAACTTACACACAAGTGTTAGATTATATTGTTGTGATCAAGGGTAACAAATATCACAGTAACAATACTTGTAATGTTAACATCTTTAAATAATACTAAACTTACACACAAGTGTTAGATTATATTGTTGTGATCAAGGGTAACAAATATCACAGTAACAATACTTGTAATGTTGACATATATAAATAATACTAAACTCACATACAGGTGTTAGATTATATTGTTGTGATCAAGGGTAACAAATATCACAGTAACAATACTTGTAATGTTAACATATTTAAATAATACTAAACTTACATACAGGTGTTAGATTATATTGCTGTGATCAAGGTAACATATTACAGTAACAATACTTGTAATGTTGACATATATAAATAATACTAAACTCACATACAGGTGTTAGATTATATTGCTGTGATCAAGGGTAACA